TGCGGCTACTTTTCAAATGGAGAGAATTAACTGGCGATTGGAGAAAACCTTGACGCATCGATAAATGTAAGTTAATTGAATCTTTTGCATTGTATAAAATTAGGAGTCGACCGTTTTTGCGTATTTTATATGAAAATTTTATGTTCAAAGTCAATTTAACATTCCTGAAGAGGTTGACCTATGGGAGTTTATTCTGTGAGCAGATTTGTATATGTTTTATGAATGATAAGCGAACCCAAACCAAAGATTTTGGTGATTTAGTGATAAACGAAAGAGAAAAAGCATTCGATAGGGTCAATTTGAACACTTTATTTAGGATGATGAAGGAGGCAGGGATAGCATATAAAGATAGGAGGGTAATTTACAATCTTTACAAGGAACAGAGAACGGTGATTAACGTAGAGGGCGAGGAGGCGGAGGCCAAGGTGAAGAGGGGGTTAGAAAAAGCTGTGTTTTGTCGCCGGCAATATTTCACCTTCGCATAGAGAAAGCCATAAATAGACTAAAGCAGGATTTTAACTTAGGGGTCAAAGTGCAGGGCGAAACAATACATATGCTGAGATACGCGGATGTAATAGGTACTAGCAGAAAGGGAAAGGGATCTAGAAACAATAAGGGATAGGACGACAGAGGCTTAGACGAAAGGGTGGAGGATTGCGTCCAACCAATCCTAGGATTGTAGGCTACAAGAAAAAGACAACTAAATAAAAATTTTAAACAAACATACAATATAATGTTAAATAATTTGGATACTTCACCCGCGCTTTTCTGGCTTTCAGAAAAACCTCGATATCCCACACGTTCCACGTGTTTCATCGTCTACATAATAAGTAATTAAATTGTAGCTTTTAAACAGTAATTCGTCACACAATTTATTTATTAAATACGAATTTTACTAAATTGAACAAGCAACGATATGCTTTATTTAATTTAATAATTAAATTCAAAGCTGTTACAACCAGACCACGTAAACCGCATACATTTTTGCTGACTGGATTTGTATTTTAATAACCATACGCGGTGTCAGGTAGGTATTGTAAAATTTTTCTCATCATTGATTCATGAAAGTCGAAAGATATAATTTTTCATACAAATCCTAAAGTAAATTAAATGGGTCAGACGGTGAAATCAATTTGGTTGTTGTGTTTTGGGGGGATTGAAGTGAAACGCAGGGGCATGCGGCGGTGTACAACTCGATTTTAAATGTGCATAGGGGCTAAGATCTAAACGTCCCCAAGGATATAAAGGTACAAAACGTGGGGAAGACATCGAAGTAACACAGGTGGTCTTTCAATAATAAAGAAACTTGGCACCACCTTACAGCAATCCGTTCTGAATCGATCCATTCCTTATTTATGCCACTTTCTTTCGGCAAATACTTCCTCAATAAATAATCGAAAAGCTCTTCTGAGAGCTGGCCCTTTTCCCTTCTCGAAGGAGCCACGTTGCTATATTTAACATACACGCTGCTGCTTCTACGTTCCCTAATTGAAAATATTGATTTTTTATGTAACATTATCGGAGAAGCTCGTTAATACTTCTAATACAACCTCATAGCAAAGTAATAAACAAGATATTAATTTCCTCATTCATTAATAAACACTCGTATTAATTTATAGCGCGTAGGTAATACAATATACGGTATCGGTAACAGAAACTACCCTAATTAGTTGTTGTTTATCAAAATTATATCAGGCTCGTCTATTTCCGTCCGTAAATATATTTATTTTAGTTCCGCGGGAGGAGGAAGTTTGATCCATCACGAAGGGGGGATCCCTCTCCCATACCAGGTCATCTGATAGAAGTTGGCAGGCGCGTTATCCAGATAGTGGCGGTGATTTACAATCCCGTATTTCCCCGCGAGTCCATCACGTCCGTTTACTTCGCCACCTTCCCCCATCCACTTCCACCCCCGTTAACTGGAAACCATCAAGCTTCCACTCTGTAATTTCCGAACGCAACCTGTGGAGGGCCCAGCAATTTGAATAATAAATTAAGGGCGGGTTTGTGACATATTAACACACTTAATTTAAAAATCTCTTATTTTCAGATGAACTTCATCCAAAGCTTTTACGCCGCCGTTGAATTGGTTTTTTAGACATTGTGAATTACCTAATGAAATAGGCATAAATAATTTTGCCCTGGTTGCTATGTATTTAGTTCGGATTACCATAAATTAAACGTGTCTTATTTTAAACAACTTGTAAATCAGCATATGCATCGTGAAAGCGCATTTTTGGTAATGCGGATCAGTATTTCATTAGCAAAGTTTAAAATTATCAATCTCACGAGTAATGTACTCAAAATAGACTAGAGCCTGCACATCTACACTATAACAGAAAGCTTTTAGTGAAAATTTAAAGTCTCCAGCAATTGTAATTGCTGAGATCTCAGTTGGACAGCCAGCCAGCCAGCCATAACGAATATAATAGCGTATTTTTAAAAAATGCCCTAATAATTAAGTTGTAATGTGAAACTCTGGTCGTAGCGGCTTTTTGAGCTCAGAAGGGCGCTTTTTTGCCTTATCTGTAACAGATAACACAAACAAAAAAACAAGAGAGATAGTGAATAGCGCGGCACATAAATATTGCGATAGCAATGTCTAACGACTGACACTAGGGTAACTAAAACCGTAATTAACCCTCAATAAGAACCAATAATTCAATTTACGTTGACTAAACAAACAACGAATCGTCCGTAAAATCGGATATATGAAGGTATAGACGCGTTAATTCGAGAAAACTACTTTACGATGCACAAATAACTGAATTTCTATACAAAATCAATCTGAAGGATTTGAAATGTATTCAAGATAACACTAGCTCACTCTTCGTAATGATACAAGTAACATAAATATACATCACTTTCGAAATAGATCTCGGTAACTTCAAAAACTAATTTAGAACTCAAGAGCAATTCCCTTAATATTGATAAACAGACTAATATGAAGGATATGCAAGGCTGTTAAACTAGTACGGATGAATCTTCGGAATAACAAAAGTATAACGTAGACGTAGACAACATCAAGTCTCGATGTCAGTAAGGTGAAATCTTCCTAACGATCAATATACTATCGAAGAATTCACAAAAGGTTTCGTAACACTTGCAGTTAAACACGAACAATATTCGTAAACAACGTCGATGTAGGTAGGTCATCAGGTAATGTGACGTCATCAATGTTAGCTTCGGCAAGATGGCGGGTCCAGGTAAAAATGCACCCAGGTTCTGCGTCGATTATAGTCGAAATACTCAGGTAGATAATAACTAAAAAGGTTATTCACAAGAGCAGATTAGGAGAGAACGAACCTTCCTTGAACGGAACAAGTACAGGTTCTAGGCAAGACAAAATTAAAGCAGGGATAGAATGAAATTCAGAAAGGTACATAGCGTGAACTCTAGCGGCAAAATAAAGAACTAGGGTAATAACAAATCTACCATAGAACTAACTTTCATCAAAACTAAACGTGTTTAAAAAGGAAAGAATACCATTTAAATTACATAAATGAGAAGAGTCACTTAAACGGAATTTTAATTTGGAATTTTAAATTGGCAAGGAAGAGAACGTTACAGTTTCTTAGTGCCAAAACCAAGAATCCTCCATAGTTTTTGTTGCTATAAGCCGCTAGACTAAACTTTATTGGAGAAACTCTTGTCAGAACCACTAAATCTTTCTTTAAATAAGAAGAATAAGGGAGCATAGGGTGGCTCACTTTTTAAAACATTGTGGTAGGCTAATTCCTAAATTTTAGATTTTAGAGGCCAAAAGCGATCAAAACTTTTCAAAAAACCCCAACAGTCTTCAGGAGTAGTGTTTTGAAGTTCACGCGAAACTGTAGAGCCTTTAAGTGCACGTAAAGGGCTTTAGACTTTTTAAAGGTTTTTAGAAACCTCAAAGACAAGAGTGGTTAACAGCCTTCATGGAATGTTTCTTTCTCTATGAGATTCTAATGGTATTGGCAACGTTTTAGTAGTGTTTAACATACGCGTCTTGCAGAGCCTTACGAGTTTTACGGGTTTCTAAGTGCATTCAAGGTTTTAAAACTCTAAGAGCGCTTACAATGGGTTAAGACTACCAAAAGCCTCCAATGAAAAAAAAATTTTAGTATCTTTAATAGTTATTTATGCATCAAGGGCATTAAGGCGATATTTATGCCGAGGGCGACAGAGCCCGAGGGATTGTAAGTCGCCCGAGGGTTAAATATTGAGTAATGCCTGAGGTGCATACAACATTTTATTTTCCATCGTTCCAAAGAATGCATTTCCAATATACAAATATCATGATTATTGTTTGCCCAACATTAAAGTGCTTCATACGAATCAAGTTGCATCTTTTTTATTTCATAATATAACCCCGTCAATCAATTTGACAGGCCGTTTGAGGGCATAATGAGATGACAATCCATTATGCCCTGTCATTATGCCCTTGGGCGTAATAGACTGCTTCATATATCACTTATGACAGATATAATTGACATATAATAGGCAAATGAAAAATAAAAGCTTTTAAAAACCTTTGGTACACTTCTAAGCCATTACGTTTTCAAGTGTCTCCAAGAGCTTAGATATGGAATACATTTGATACATTTGATGTGTTATTAAAAACCGAAAAAAAACAGCAAATTTTCTCTTGAACTTGGTGCTCCAAGGTGCTTTATCTTCACGTTTTCTACCAAGCCTTCATCTTAAACAACAACAGCAATGACCTACTTTTCCGTTTGTAACTGTATTACAGTTGTGGTAGACACTTCATACTGAAAAAATCAAAAACTCATGGGCACTGCTTCAGCATTTGTTTATTGATTGATTAATTTCAAACTTTTCCAATGTTTACTACGATAATATTTTTAGAGAAAGTTAAGACCAGTACCAATTATAGGGTAATTAATATACTACAGGATCATTAAGTAACAATTAATATCAATCAACAAGAAAGATATGGTCTAACTGTTATCGTCCAGAAATGATAGGAACAAGTTATCCTTGACCGCGAAATTGGGAGTAAAGGTTAAAAGTTACTGCTTATCCGAAGATATAAAGAACAAGTTTGGTATATTCCGGACAAAATGCTGTGTTCGATGAAGCCATTACTTACGTTAGTTTTCGTTTTGATCTCCCTGGATTCGCTATCAGCGGCCCAAAAGGTATGTAGATCGACTACTGGTACGGAAATTTGACTTTTTTTTAACTATAGAAGGCGCCCAAGCACATTCAGGCAGCATGGGAACGAGTAACCTTCCCGTTTAAAAAGGAATGCGTTACCGAAACAGGGATAGCACAAGGTCTGGCGGACAGGCTATTTTTGCACAGCGAATACCCCGAGCACGACCCCTTAAAATGCTATATTAAATGTGTTTCGGGACGGATGGGAATTTTGGACGTTTCGAAAGGGGAATGGATTCTCGATGAGTTTCTACGGCAGGTCGCCGGTCTGACACCCTCAATTTATGCCGCTTGCAAGGAGGAAACGAAGGCTGCACCGAATGTATGCGAGATATCTTACGGCATGTATAAGTGCGTAGTTGGGCACGTAAGCGAAGATTAATGAGGAACTTTTTTTAATACATTTTTGACTTATTAAACATTTAATTTAGTAGAGTTTTCTTGATCATGAATTGTAAGAGGGTCATAAATGAACTACACCTCGTAAGCAAACTACAGCCCTAGTTCAAAATTTACTACCGCGAATATCGTAAAAGAGACGTTTAGTCTACAAGATCCTGTACTTCACTCGGAGGTTTGAAACAACCACGTCTGGAGTGGTCAAATATGAAGTAATGTCCTAACCTTTTAATATAGAAAAAAGGAGTGTCAATCTTACTTTTTGCCTGTAGTGAACAGAGTACCATTATTGCTGATTAAAAAAAGTGACTTTTTAAGGCTCAAAAAGCAGTCAAAAGCTCTGAATCCACGATGACTACTATTTTCTCAGGTAAATCTATTACAATTTTTGCCACTATCGCCTATGGATCATGATATCTGCTTCCCCTAAATTAATCCTTTGTACCCCTTCGAAACTTTATGTCTTTGTGATTATTCTTGAATTGGCGTTGGTTGATTAACAAAATAAATGAATACTCGAAAGACGTTCTTAATTTCTTTTGAGGCGGAAACGTTTCAAATTTTCTCTCTGTTTACAGGACCACATTTATTCACCTTCATTTAGATTTTAGTGAAGCGGCTAAGAAGGACGAGTGACTCGTAGCTGTTGACGTGGGCAAGTCCCTAACGCGGCCGGGGATTAGTCTAGAGAGTAATAAGAGGAAAGAAGCAAAAAGGGAAACAGTGGTTCGAAGTGTTTCGATAGAGCAAGAAAGTAATAAGATCAGCGAAGCAAATTATAGCGGAAGTGGAGAGAAAGTGGAATAGAAAAAAGGGAAGGGGGCGAATCCAGACCAGGCGGGATAAGGAAAAAGAATAAAAAACTCGAAGAAGAAAATGAGAGAAAGGAAGTAGAGGTGAAAAAAGGGAGAGAATAGAGGAATGGCTAAAAGAAAACCTACAAGTAGGGGAGAATGTAAAAGAGGCGTGAACGTTTGAAGTAAGGGGAAATTAGGTAGTCATCACGGAACTAACATGCGAAAAGAAGAAAAAAGTTATAAGGGAAAAGGGAAAATTAAAGGAGAGGGGGATATACATAGATGACGAATTGACATATAAATAAAGAAAGGTAAACAGAGAAAAGAAAAAGAATAAAAAACTCGAAGAAGAAAATGAGAGAAAGGAAGTAGAGGTGAAAAAAGGGAGAGAATAGAGGAATGGCTAAAAGAAAACCTACAAGTAGGGGAGAATGTAAAAGAGGCGTGAACGTTTGAAGTAAGGGGAAATTAGGTAGTCATCACGGAACTAACATGCGAAAAGAAGAAAAAAGTTATAAGGGAAAAGGGAAAATTAAAGGAGAGGGGGATATACATAGATGACGAATTGACATATAAATAAAGAAAGGTAAACAGAGAAAAGAAAAAGAATAAAAAACTCGAAGAAGAAAATGAGAGAAAGGAAGTAGAGGTGAAAAAAGGGAGAGAATAGAGGAATGGCTAAAAGAAAACCTACAAGTAGAGGAGAATGTAAGAGACGCGTGAACGTTTGAAGTAAGAGGAAATTAGGTAGTCATCACGGAACTAACATGCGAAAAAAGTTATAAGGAAAAAGGGAAAATTAAAGGAGAGGGGGATATACATACATGACGAATTCACATATAAATAAAGAAGGGTAAACAGATAAACTGGAAGATTAGGAAACTAGATCAGAATTTAGCGAGCGAGTGACCAACGTCGTTTTGGTATCCCCCGCCGAATTCGGTGCGATGACGCCATGACGGGAATTTGTGTGTTGTATTCTTAAAGGCAAAAATGCGGAAAAATTTGATTCGGCTCAAAAAGGACCAATATATTGGTGAGCTCTTTCTTTAGTCAATCTCATCGTATAGATTGGTAAAAATGCTTGACATTTTAAGTCTACGCTAGAATATGCATATTTTGCTAAAATAGCGCTTAACATTCCTTCTATCAGTTAGGTTAGGTCGAGACCTTTCCAAAGACACCCACAACGCACCGTTCTCGAGATATCGTGGTTTAAGTGTTTTCGGTGGTGTCAAATTACAGGTCGCTATATCTCCGTTGTTTACCGTCCGATCTCGTCCAAATTTGGTATTCGGAGGTTTGGGGACTCGGGGCACCCAATCCCGCCCGTTCTTAGCTTCTATCTCTGTTTCGAAATTCCTTACCTTACCAACGGCTAGGAAAGGTCGAAACCTTTCTACAGACACCCATGAACCACTACCCACGACGTTCCGTTCTCGAGATATCGCGGTTTAAGTGTTTGATCAAAAATATAAATATTGTTTTTCTGTAGATCGTCTAGAAATGTCGCAAAACGCGTGATTGCGAAGTATCGATACCGTAGGTCGAAAGACAACAGAGATGCGTCGATATCTCGAAAAGGGGAGGGGATGAAAAAATGTGAAAATCCCGTTTCGAGCCCCCTACAGCTACAGTTAGAATTTGGTACGAATCGGCCGGTAAATAAGGGAGATATTAAGGGATGCACGGCGCTTTAAAATGCATCCGTGCGCGTGAACTCCGGCGCCTACTGAAGACGCGGTCAAAATATTTCAGGTGTTATAACGTCGGAGAGCGATCGCGTACCAGTAGATACGTGTGTGTATACAGGGTGATTCCTATAGTACCTGCCACCGTTTGGGAGCGTATAGGGAGTGCCTAGGGGAAGTCTTTTCATATAGGACACTTGGGGTCGGAAATCCAAAATAAGGGCGCCAGAACCAAATTTATCTTCTGGAATTTTACGCCTGTATGTAGGCAACCCAACCGACCGACGTTTCGCGCGGAGCGATGCTGAGCGAGTTAGCGCGAGGAAGCGACATGGGAGGGAAGGAGGGAAAACGACAGTCAAAAGCAATAACGTTTACAAGTGTTCAACGTGGCCACCGTTGTTCTCAATGCACTTCCTACATCTAGCCAACCACTCCCCTCGAACTCGCGTGAAGACTCCTATGTCCTGGCGAACAGCCTCTCCGGCCATGACGACGCGCGCAATTAAGTCCTCTTCGGATTCGACGGGAGTCTCGTAGACGTGCGCTTCCATCACACCCCACAAGTAAAAATCTAATGGGGTGATGTCGGGCGAGCGGGCAGGCCACTCCACCGCACCTCCACGGCCGATCCATCTGTCCGGATAGGTTTGGTCCAAGTGTTCCCTCACCTGCCGCCCGTAGTGAGCAGGGCACCCATCGTGCTGGAACCAGTGGTCCCAGTACAAGTTCACTGGAACATCCATTAAAAGTTCTGGTAGCACCTCGCGCAGGAAAATCAGGTAATTATGGGCATTTAGACGCGGAGGGAGGATGTAAGGCCCCAGTAGGTTGTCCCCCAGGATGCCAGCCCAAACGTTTAAAGAAAACTTGTCCTGGTATCCTCGCGTAAACGTTTCATGATGATTGTGCTCCGCCCAGTAGTGGCTGTTACGAGGATTGAAGGTCCCCTCTCTTGAGAATCCTTTCTCGTCAGTAACTAGCACGCTCCTCAGAAAGTTCGGATTAGCTTCTTCCTCCTGGACGACTAAGTTGCAGAATTCCAGCCTCCTTTCATGGTCACCCGGCCGTAACTCTTGCACTTTCTTAAACTTATAGGGGTGTAAGTTGTTGTTGTTGGCGATGTTCCACACTGTGTGTTGACTACAACCCACCTGATCTGCTACAAGTCGAGTGCTAGTACGCGGGTTTGCCTCGAAACGTTCCAACACATCCTCCTCTAAGGCATTTACCAACGGGCGATCGCGATCACGGGCGCTAGTGGGCTGCGAAATAGGAGGAGGTCGGTGTAAACAAACAAACTTTTCGAAATGGGTGCTTAAATGACCCAAGTATCGATGTGCATCACGAATCTGTGTGTAAAGTTAAGCCTCCGTCAGCTTACCTGCAATTGCCCTGTCTCGCACAGTCGGAAGTGAATTTCTTGAAAGACCTGTCTGCAGGGTAACTGACGGTTTGGATACCGCTCAGCGTACGCTCGTCGTGCAGCTCGTGCGTTACCATTTGCCAATCCGTACATGAAGTGCATGTCCGCGTATTCCGTGTTAGTAAAACGTGCCATAGTGTTTATTCACTTGATACGCGTCGTTGCAGACGGGATTTCGTGGGTTTAAACAAAATTCTGATCAAGTGTCAGCCACACATCGCCGCCTGAGATCGCTCCGTGTGCACCGCCGGCCGGTTGGGTTGCCTACCTACAGGCGCGAAATTCCAGAAGGTAAATTTGGCTCTGGCACCCTTATTTTAGATTTCCGACCCCAAGTGTCCTATATCAAAATACTCCCCTACGCACCACCTACACGCTCCCAAACGGTGGCAGGTACTATAGGAATCACCCTGTATATTATATTGTTGTTGTGACCCGTTTGTTGTCGATAGGGGAAGGATACGATTTGAAAGGTCCGCGACGGCGACACCGACCGACGTCGCCAAAATGCGAATCTCGGTAACGGAAAATCACAGGAAGGTGTGTGAGGTATCGTCGGAAAGGTCTCCGCGGTTATCATAGGTTAGGTTTAAGGGGGGGGGGGCGAACCGCCGGTTCGAAAAGATTGATATTTGGCGCGGATGGTACGCCGTAAGTTGAGGGACGTTTGGGGCCGCATTTGATCGATCGCAAGTTTTTCCTAGGTCGTCTCGTTTACGCGCCGCGAGCGATAAAGGGGATTGAAGTCGATAAAGGCAAACTTTTCCAACAATTACGCCCTTTTTTCACCCTCGCCTTTTCTTAGGGTGCCTCCCGCGCGTGGGGGGGGGGCTGTCGAGACTTCCGCGACCGCGTCATTCGAAAATCTCGATCCTCCCACCCCCCCTAGCCACGGCCGTGATTCTTCGAGTTTAATCGTTTACCCTCTGCGTTTTTTTCCCGGGGGCCCATCTTTCGGGGGTGGCAGTGGGGGTGGGGGTGAAAACGAATTTTCTTGGGGTGGGAATTAGGAGCTCGTGAAAAATTTCGTAAAAATGGAATTTGTCAAAGGAAAGTTATCGACGAAAACGTCGGGAACTGGTTTGTAACGGTGTGCGGTAAATTCGCCCCGGAAGACTCGCC